ATATATATATATATATATATATATATGAGCTTTTGGATATGTGTTACCTCTTATATGAGAGAGACGATCTTTTTCATATGATTCAGAATATGGCTTCATCGGCCTAAATTGAGGGTTTCCTCTCCAGAGTTTACAGTTATATAGTGATATGCTCGGGCCGAGTATGGCACTGGGTGCCAGCCGCGCCTCGTCGAATTTGGGGCGTAACAGACTTACATCATGACATGGGTGAGGGTGGGTCCAATAGAGTTTTAATATCTTCGACTTACCGCGTAAGTTTTAATTTGCTCTAACCCCCTTAACGTTAGTATTTTTCTATTTTTAACGCGCTCCGTTTGACTTAATTTTTCTCCATGCTTAGCTTTTCGAGGAGTAGATTAAAAAATATGTCTAGATAAATTGTTCTCGCACGTGTGACAGCTATTTCATCTGTATTATTAATGGGATGTACAATTTAAATCAATAATTTTATTTTTTAGAAAACGGTACCAGAGAAGAAAAATTAAAACGCATAACAATAACTTTGAGTTTGCGGTAAATAATTAAATATTGATAAAATGCATAAACAAACACTCAAACTTAGTCTAATTATCGGTTTAACACTTAAACTTAGTCTCAATTCTCAGTCCGGCAGACCTCATGCATGTGCTACAAGCACAAATGATATAGTAAAGTAACAAATAAAAAAGTGACACGTGTACATATACATATAGAAAGAGAATATACATTCAACTAGAAAAAAAAATTCAGAAGCACCCCTCACAACAATTGCTTGGTGGACTTTGTACACCACTTCAACTTTAACAATAAAACTACATTTAGAGTTAACTTACAATTTTTTTGCGATTGGCAACATTAGAACATATTATAACTCAAAAAATTGGGTTCACCAATAATTGTTAGAAAAATCTCATTTCTCCCTACATACCTTTATTACCAAAAACTAACAGAAAAGATAAAAGATATAGCAAGCGCAATTCGTCATGTCACCTCTAAATAGGTAAGCTGCGTGGAATTGCTAAAGTTATATGAATTTTATAGCAAGCGCAATTCGTCATTAAAATTACATTTACTGATCTCTAGCATATTGTGCTAAAAATTCAAAAGAGTGAGTATTTTTAATAACTTTACAAAAGTTGACTATTTTTTTAATTATCAGTCCGAAAACTAGCTAGATGGTGCAATTTCATCATTTTCTATCGATGGGAGTTCATCAATTTGGGCCTAAGCCCATTTGATATGACACCACAGTAGCCCATTGCCCGAAGCCACAAAAACCCTAACACTATATCCCTTCATCGTAAACCCTACACTTTCTCCTTTTACCTCTCACTCTTCTCCGCAGCTTCACAACCCCTTCAAATCACTGAAAATGGTGAGTTTCTCCAAATTTTCTGTCATTCAACTTCTCTAATTCACTTCTTAACATCTATGCATTTTCATTACTTTAATTTTATTTATTGGAATTTGAAAAAAATTGCTTGATTTTATTGTTTAGCCGTTCAAGAGGTTCGTTGAAATCGGAAGAGTTGCGCTCGTTAACTACGGGAAAGACTATGGGAAGCTTGTCGTCATCGTTGAC